GGGGCTGCTCCAGGAGCAGGGAGAGGGGCTGGGGCTGCAGCTCCTGCTGGGCTCAGAGGGACGGCAGCAGGAGCAGCTTTCACAGGAGAGGGGAGAGCAGCAGGAGCAGCAGCCAGAGCAGGGGACACCGGAGCCTGGAGTCCCGGAGATCCTGGGCTGACTGGGGCGGGCCCTGGAGATCCTGGGGCTGCAAAGCCCACGGGGGACGGTGGGGCCGGAGCGGGGGAAGCGGTGACTGGGCCCGGCAAAGCCAGGGTAGGGGGCTGGGGAGGCCCAGAGAACACGGGGATGGCCACGGCCGGGACCACAGCGGGGGATGTGGGGGCCGGGGGGCCCGGCAGAGCCGCGGCTGCAGCGCTGGGCGGCTGCACTGGGAGAGCTGGGGCAGATGGAGATGGAGTCAGAGGTGGGGAATGAGCAGCATGAAGAACAGCTAAAGGAGAGAAACAGAGTGAGCCATGAGAGGAGGGAGGGAGGGAGGGAGGGAGGGAGGGAGGGGACAGGGAGCCTGCCCTGGCCTTCCTCCCGGCCTTGGCACCCAGCCTCTAGAGCAGCAGACACTGCCCAGCCTGCCGGGCTCCACACGGACCGGGACATTCAGCCCTTCCAGAAACCAGCACTGATTTTCCCGGGAGCCCTGGAATGGCAGGAGGCACCAGCTGAACCACCAGGAAGCCCCGTCAGGCTGGGGTTGCAGGGACCGGGCTCTGCTGCCAGCTCTTCTCTACCAAAGGAGTTGCCACAACCTCCATGGAGGTCTGGCGGGACCCCCAGGGCTGCTCCCGAGCCTGGGATCACACCCCAGGCTGGTGGGAGCAGGGAGGGACAAGGAAGGAAGTCAAATGTAACCCACTGGCATGCGGAATTGTCCCTGGAGCGCTCTGGGAGCCCCCTCCCACCAGCCCTGGGTGACACAGGCAGGTGCCCTGAGGGGACAGGGACACCGAGGCAGGGGATGGTGGGACCCCCAGAGCCCCCCTGGGAGCTGTTAGGGTTAATGGAACTGCAACCCCCGGAACGGCACACGGTTAATGGTTACAGGAGTACCTGGAGCAGGGATGGGAGCAGGAACGGGGGCAGCTGGAGCTGGACGGGGAGAACAACAGTTTATTAAGGCTCATCCCACTGACTGAGAGTGCTCAGCTTCCAGCTCCCTCCACCAGTGCTGAGGGAGCCTGGAGGGAGCCCTGCCAATCCCAACACAATTCCCAACTCTGAGCGAAGGGCACCACTCAGGGAAGAGCCTGGAGAGAGCCCTGCCATACCCAGTGCCAATCCAAGGGTTCTGCTCAGGGAAGAGCCTGGAGAGAGCCCTGCCATTCCCAGTGCCAATCCAAGGGCACTGCTCAGGGAAGAGCCTGGAGATCACTCAGCTTCCCGCTCCCCCAGCCAGCACTGAGAGCCCTGCCATTCCCAGCGTGATTCCCATCCCCTTTCCCAATGCCAACGGGCGGTCCCGGGGCACTGCTCAGGGCAGAGGCTGCTGTTGCTGGGAGGGCAGCGCTGGTCTGACCGGTGTGACCGGCCCTGCTGCCACCTGGGAGAGCAGAACCGGTCCAGCAGAACCGGCCCGGCCGCGGTGCCGCCCTGGGGCAGCGCGTCCCGGCACGTCCGGCGAGGGCAGCGGGGCCAGGGAGGATCCCCAACAAACCAAAGCCAGCCCAGTTCCGTGGATCCTGGGAGCAGCAGGGCCCTCCCAGCTCTGTGTGGCCCTGCCTGCTGTCCCTGTCCCACCCCGGATCGGGGTCACACTCGTGTCCCCGTCCCCTCAGAGCGATGGCCCTTTCCCTGCCCCAGAAATGGTGCCCCAGAAGATGTTTCCAATGCCCCATTTTAGCTCCACATGTCCTGGCCTGTGGAATGCCTGGAGCTGGACATCAGTGCCAGGACAATTCCTGCTCCAAGGAACACCCTGATGCCTCAGGAAGGAGCGACAAGTCCTGCCAAGGGCCCATCCTGGAACTGTGCAGAGCTGCTTCCTCCCAACAGTCCTTCATTCATCCCTGCTCCTCTGCCAGCTCCAGTGGCACCGTTTGAGGACATTCCCAATAAACACCACCATTCCCACTCATCACTCACAGCCCCACCTCTCCTCGGCCCCTTCTCCAACAAAGTCAAGCCGCAAGATTCCCAAAAGACATGGAATTTGTAAGGGATGCTCAAACCACCTGGGTGGCAGAGCCTGCCAAGAGCTGAACCCCTGGATCAGCCCCATCTCCAGGGGTTTTCCAACCAACCTCCACAGAACAAGACAAAATCCAAGGAGCTGCCTCAGGACTCCCATGACACCATCAGAGACTTGACAGCAGTGGAATTTTGGGAGGAGGAGGAAGGGGTGAGTTGTCAGCAGAGAGGGACAGAAAAGCCATCCGGGGAGGGGGCCCCAGCCAGGAATTCCAGCTACGAGGAACCAGGAGCTCCCCGGGAATCCCTGGCACAGCTGTCACACCAACAGCTGTCACTCGGCTCTGCCACCAACCACGGGGAGCCCCAAATCCAAGGGGAGCCCCAAATCCAATGGGAGCTCCCAAATCCAAGGGGAGCCCCCAAATCCAATGGGGCAGACCCCCAAATCCAACAGGGAGAGACCCCCAAATCCTACCAAGCAAACCCCACCGCTCCCGTGACTCCGGTCACGCTCCATGTGGGATATCCCACGTGTTCTGGGGTGGGAAACAAAACGGCACCGGCACGGATTTGTTTTGGCCGCAGCAAAGGGACACGGAGGAAGAGGAGGGGCCGTGGAACAGAGACCCCAAACCCCCCCGGCGGAGGTGACAACACTCGAGCTGGTGTCGCTCACCCGCCACCGGGTCCGCGACCCCCTCCCCGCCCTCACCGGGGGGCTGCAGCTCCCCCGTCCCGCCCTCAGATCCCGCCGGGCGGGGGGATCCCGGGAATCGACCCCAAAACCGTGACCCCCTCCCGGCCTCAGCCCCAAAACCGCCCCGGAGCCCCCCCGGCCTCACCTGTCTCCGCCTGCGGCTGCGGCAGCTCCTGCTCCGTGGCCGGGACGGTTTCTGTGGCTTCGCCGGGCATTTCTGCGGGAGGGAGGCACAAAGCGACAGGCCCGGGCTCGCCGGGGCTCCGGGACAGCCCGCCGGGGCGACCACCGGGCGCCGGTAACTCGCCCTCCCCGCATCCCCCCGCTCCGGAGCACCGAGCGCCTCCCGCTACCGTGGCAATCTACCGAGACACCTCCCCCGCACGGCCCGGGCCGAGCCTGAGCTCCGTCCCGACCCCGGGCCTCGGCCGCCCCCTTCTCCCCCCCTCTCGCCCCCGGTGCGCGGGGCCGCCCCCGCCGCCCTGCCCGGCGCGCCCGCGGCCGCTTCGCCGGCCTCCAGCGGCTCCTCCCGGGCGCGCCGCGGCCCCCGCGGCGGCGGATGGCGGCGGATGGCGGCGGATGGCGGCGGATGGCGGCGCGGGACTCACTGTGCGGGGAGCGGGGCCCAAGATGGCGGCGGAAAGAGACCGTGAAGGGAGCGCGGCTTCCGGGAGCGCGGCACTTCCGGGGCAGGGGGGAGCGCCCGGCGACACGGCCCGGCCCGGTCCCGGGGCCGCGCTCCGCAGTTCCGGGCTCTGTTCGGGTCGCCCCCACTACGGGTGTGGGGACCCCCCCGGGGTGCGGCGGGACCCCCGTGGGAGGGAAGCGAGGAACGCCCCGGGTGTGGGGATGAGGGGCTGTGAATGTGGGCCTTGACCTCAGCAGTGGGCAGGGGTAGGGGGTCGGGGCAGGGGGTACAGGCAGGGTTTTGGGGGGCAGAGACCCCGCACTGCAGAGCAGGGACACAGACCCCAGAGAGACCCCACACACAGACCCCACACAGAACCCACACAGACCCCACACACAGAGCCCCGCCCACCTCGGGCACAGCACAAGGGTGACCAGAAACATTTAATGGCTTTTGTGTAGAAAAGGTACAAAAAGTGTAAGGGGCTGTGAGTGAGGAACAGGGAGCCAGTGCAGTTCGGCTGCTCCAAGGCACCAGGACCCCCCTGGGAAGCTGAGGTGACAATGACAAGAGCAGAGGTGACAATGGCCATCGGTCCCTCGCCGTCCTTTCATCCAGGACCCCCGGCAGCGAGGCCTCAGAAGTCTCCCTGAATGTCTGCCAAGAGGAGAAATGGGAATTTTTCCAGAAAAAGAGCCGTTTCTCAGAGCCAGGGGGTCTCCCCCTCCCGGCACCCACCACTCCGGCGCAGCCGCTCCCCTCGCCGGGCGCTCTCCATGCCCTCCACGAACTGCTCGAAGACCCTCACGTAGGGAGCCAGGCTCGTCCTCTTGTAGTCTGGAGGGTTGGGGGAGTGAGCAGGGGTGCTGGGGACCCCCCTCGCCCCGACCCTGACCCCCCCTCGCCCCCACCCAGACCCCCCTCACCCCTCGCCCGGCGCTTCGGCTCCGTCTCCCCGGCGTCCTCCTGCTCCCCGTCGCTGCCGGCCGTGTCCAGCTCGTGGCACAGGGAGCTGCGGGAGAACCACAGGGTGAGGGTTTGGGGCTGTGGCACCCCCGGGATCCCGCCCTTGGCGCTGCCACCCCGCTCACGCACGTGATGGTGGGGACAGAGAACGGGTCAAACTGGTCCAGTGCCTGCAGGTCCAGCGGCACCGAAATGCGGCCTGAGAGAGAGAGAGAGAGAGAGAGGGGGGTCACTGTGAATGTGGGCCTTGACCTCAGCAGTGGGCAGGGGTAGGGGGTCAGGGCAGGGGGTACAGGCAGGGTTTTGGGGGGCAGAGACCCCGCACTGCAGAGCAGGGATGTCCCCCCAGCTCCTCCTCACAGGGAGGGACACAGACCCCAGAGAGACCCCAGATACAGACCCCACACAGACCCCACACACAGAGCCCCCCCAGGGTGGTCCCCCCACGGGGTCCCGGCCCCACACCCACCCGTTTTGGGGTGGACGCTAAAGGGGCTCTTGAGCAGGTGCCCCACGCCCTTGCTGACGTTGATGTCGAGGCGGGGGAAGCAGAACTGCAGCATGATCTCCCAGTCCGCGTAGCAGGGGGCGGCCCCGCGACCCCCCCGCGTCCGCTCCATGCGGCCCCGCAGCAGCTCCCAGCGCTGCACCGAGTCCTTCCTGCGCGGGAACTCGCCCCGCAGCGCCTCGCGGTGCTGTGACAGCCGTCAAGGATCATCCCACAACGCTCTGCCTGGACCCACCAACCCCGCGCGGACCCTCCCTCCGGCCCCACCACAGCACCAAGGAAGGATATCCTCCGGGACCAGGGCCAGCACCTTGTCCCAGCTCTCGGGGCTGCCCAGGATGTCCTGCCCCACCAGCGCGTACTCCTCGAAGTACTTCTCCACCACGGCCACCGAGCGCCTGCGGAGAGCGGGGACGGGCTCAGCGCCTGCCGGGGGCTGCGGGGCCGGGCCGGGGGGTCCCCACCCACCTGATGAAGGGGTGCACGGGGTAGGAGAGGTTCACCTTCTTCACCGT